CTTATTCTAATGTGGTGGCCCGGAGGTTTAAGACGCCCGCTTCTCATGCATAAGGGTGCGGGTTCGAAACCTACCAACGGCAAGTACCAATGTGACGTTTTCCGTGTTATATGTACTTTTTAAGATTATTCAGACACCACTGACAAACGGTGAAGGAAAACATCGTAAGGAAACCTGGACCTATAATTTCTAATTATAAGTTTGTAATCGCCAACTCGCATTGAGCAAGCGTGGTGATTAATGCTCAAACCTTCTCTGTGTGAGAAGAGGCTTTGCTCAGCAGTGGGCATTTATAGGCTGTTGATGATGATGATGATGATGATGATGATGACATAATATAACCTTCTAACTAGCCGTTTCGGCAAACTTCGTGCCGCGTCATTTTACTTTTCTTATCGTTTAAACCTTCTCTGAGACTTCCACGAAAATTTCAATTCCGAAATTAGCCAAATCGGTGCAGTCGTTCTCGAGTTTTAGCGACACTGATAAACGGAAATTCATTCTTATTTTCTTTAATGTGGAACGTAATTTGTATGGATTATCTGCCACATAAGTTAATCCCCGATAGAGGATTTATTTGATGGCGGCGTAATCGGCGCTAAGTATCATATCGCGTTATCCACGACATTATAATACAGATTTCCTCATGATGTTTTATTGTAGTGACGTCCTATGAAACCGCACCGAAACGCGAAATCTTAATCTTTGGCAAATACAATAGATTAAGATATGTTATGATATCAAAAGTAAAAATGGACTTGAAATAAAATTGATTATATCTGTTAACATTTACTTTCTTAAAAAATAGTACAGTTGTAAAGTACTGTTCGAATATTTGATTTAAAAAAAAACAAAATGCCAGAATTACAATACTGCACAAATAAAAAACAAATAATTTAGTTACAACAGTAAGGGTTCGTACACAAACTGCGATGTGAGCTCCCTCTACGCATCGCAAAAACTTGCGTATTGATTTGCATCGTGCATCAAAATCTTATCTTCCCAAAATCTTCTTTGTTTCTTTTTCCTCTATCTGCTAAGCAATAACAGAAGTGCAGACTTCTTTTTACGACCCATGTCACGACCTAGTTTGCAATGTAAAATACGTTTAGTACGGTTGACAGTTGTCGAAGGAATCGTCATCCTGGGAGACGCCTTGTCGCACGAAATCGCATCGCAGCAATTCGCATCGTAATTTTTTGCGTTGCGAATTTGCATCGCATCGCATCGCAGTATGTGTACGAGCCCTAACTCATAAAGGCATACGAGTACCGCCCAATTTAATTTAGGAAAGAATACGTTTTTCATTTGTTTCATAACAAATAAATAATCAGAAAAACTTACTTCTATAAAAAAAGCAAATAAGAGGACAGTCAGACACAATTTATTATATTTATTTATTGCCTATTCTTATATTTATTTCGCAGAACTAATCATTAAAGCGTCGCTACAAATATTTATTGAGCCATATAAATTTATAGTTACTAGCAAATAATAGATTTGAGTAAAACATATTCTTGTAAAATGTTGCCAAGACATAGATGTCTACAACAGCAACATTTTACAAGAATATGTTTTGACAACCTGTACAGTCTACTGTATAGCTTGTACCGGCAAAGTTTATAGATTTAATTTAAAGCGAATGGTTTGCTATAAATTGCAATTTGTAAAACACTATACATACTTCAAGTAGTCTAGTTGTCTTTAGATTAAAAGTCCAAAATCTTCACAGAACAGCTATGTAGCAGTGCTCTTGAGCTTAAAACGACTTGGCTGGGAGCTCACCCATGCCTCCAGACTCATTTATTCTAGATAATTCGATTCTAATGTATTATAGAGATATTTATGGTCCAATCTTAGAGATTTTTTTGCTTGTAGCTTCTTGAATGTTACAGGCGGTATCGACTGCTCACCACCAGGTGATCTATATGTTAGTTTGCCCCCATACCCCACTAAAAATTATGGTTTACTCAATCTTAATTAACATACGACGTAGCAATTATGTACACACCTTAATATATGATCAAACCGAGTACTAAGACTACAATTTGAAGTAAGTGAATAATTATTTTATTAGTTACTAGCTTTTACCCGCGGCTTCGCTCGCGTCACAAAAGGATAAAAAGCCAATGTGACATATACCAATACACACAGCGCCATCTATACCAATACTTTTGTTTTCCCTCGGGAATATCAAATTTTTCCGGGATAAAAAGTACCCTATCCGGACTTTTAACTTTACGTCTGCAAAATCGGTTTAGTAATCGCAATCGGTTTAGTAGTTACGGCGTTAAAGTGGAACAAACAAACAAACAAACAAACTCACTTTCCGATTTATAATATTATATATATAGTAAGGATATTGACTTGGTTATTTCTGCTTACGTTAGTTTATGAAACTGTACACGCGCACCTGTTATACTTAGATACTCAGTTAATTTAATTTAGCCATAAATTTTTAGTTTTATAAGCAATATTATTGTACTTTATATATGTCAGCACATTTTTTACCTGAAACACAGGCTTGTACCTACTTGTTCAGGTTTCATATAAATTTAAACTTTGTTTAAGAAATAAGATTTATATTGTAATCTGACTTTTTACACGAAATAAACATATTATAATTACTTCGACTATTATTTCGATCTATGAGTCAATTAATCCCTTATTCCCCGGCATTTCTTGATCTTGACTTTTAATGGATCGAAAGAGGCTTGTAGGGATCGTAGCAATTAGCGTTCCACAGTCTCTGCATACCCCCATGGGACACAGGCGTGAAGTTATGTATGTATGTATTCCTTAATCACAATTCTTACGACCACTCCATGCTGCCAAACCAAAAAAGAACTAAGTTACTTCAAAACCGTCTCGTTGGCCGAGTGGTAGCAAGTGCGACTGCCGGGCAAGGGGTCTCGGGTTCGAATCCCGGGTCGAACAAAGTATTACCGGGTTTTAAAAAATTCTCAGAAGTAGCACGGAGTTTGGAACTGTGCCCGGTATGTGTGGCAATAGGCTCACTTCCTATTTCATGGGAGTCATAATATAAATAATGAAAGTGGGTGTCACATTGTACAGTGGCATTAAATGTTGTAATGTGCACCTCTGCCTGCCCCTTTGGGGATAAAACGCGTGATATTATGTATGTTACTTCAAAAATGTATCGCTTTTATGCAGGTGCATATATATTCGTCCGCCAGTGTACTGCACTGAAAAATATCTTGAATGTTCCATGTGTGGTGTTGAAAGGAATTCAATTTTGTAAAGCTGCACTGCTACGTGACTTCAAACCTATGCTGGAGTGTTTTACTTTGTATTTCTTTTGGATTTTGATACAAATATCAAGATTTGTAGTATTTTTATAATATGTAACGTAATACATATTCAATTATCTCAAAATCACGGGTTATTGTCCGGGTTAAAATGACGTTGCTCATAAGGATGAGTCCCTCTGTGCCTCGAAACTAGTAGAGCCTTTCACGTGAATAACCCCTGATTTTTAGTAAAGATTTGTAGTGTGGATTGGAGGTCGGATATTGGGGATTAGGGATTAGTTGACTGCACGGTCGGTGCGGTGGCTAGGCAACCGGCTGCCGTGCAACGTGTCGCGGGTTCGATTCCCGCACGGAACAACACTTTGTGCACAACCACAAATTGTTGTTTCGGGTCTGGATGTCATTGTGTATGTTGAACTTGTATGTTTGTGAAAGCACCCACGACATAGGAGAAAACCCAAATGAGGTGCAACGTTTAAAAAAAAAAAAGTTAAGCAATAAAAATAAAACAATCTTGAAAATAACATCACTTTATATTCTTTATTTTTTTAAATATAGGTCATAAATTATACAAACATTTACTTATTATAATAATAATTATTATGTACACATTGTTAATACTTTTATGGCAAGTTTAATAATTTACTAATTACATTACATCTCGTCTTCTTATTCTTGATAACAAATATTATGTTTCATCAATATAATATGTTTAACAATATCGATATAGTTGTATATTTCACATCGTATAAGGCATCTTTTACACCAAACGTATTGTCCGCCGCCGACAGTGAGGGTTTTTTTAAGGGGGGATAATCATTGAATGACTGCTCCCACCTGCGTGAGACGGGAGGGAGTGTCAGACTCTGACTGACTAAAAACCACCCCGTTCCTTCTCCTGCACGTCGAGCCGGAGCCCCGGTAACCCGTTAGGTTCTCCGCGACCGACGGTGAGGGTACAAACTGTCTACAACGCACTACGTAACAGCCTATAATTGGTTTGATGTGTGTGAAATCAATAACTATGAAAAACTATTACTACACATCGCGCGCTCACAGTCAGAAACCGACAATGCGTTTGGTATGAACAATACCTAAGTAGTACAAATACAATGGCACAAAAAACCTTATGTTTTTATCTATGTCTTAAAAACTACTTCAGTGCGACTTGTAACAAAACAGTGCCTTTAGCCAAACGCCACTTTAGCGCTTGTCTACAGAGAGAGTAGAGAACTAAATGTATGGAAATGACACTGATAAGTGTCAAAATTTACGTCAATTACATACAATTTGCTGTTCTATTCTACATGTAGGCAAGCGCTAAATGGCATTTGGCTAAAGCTGCTGGGATCATAATAGATTAAAAATCTATTCAGTCCGTCAGCTACTCAGTATGAGAGAAATATTTGATTCATTTTACAATTATGAGATTTATCTCGTTTTAACGAGTAAAAATATAAGAGTAGTTTGCTAAGCCTCTTCTCAGAGAAATGTACTAAATCGTTACGTCACACGATGTTTCCAATCAATATAATATTACGGTAGACAATTTTGATGTCGCGAGAAAACAAAAAACACGTTTATAATAAAAAAATAATAATTTACCAGACGGAAATTAAACCACAATTTTGCCATCATCCCTATAGTAGAATGGACAAACAAACCTAAATAACAAGAAATAAATAATTATAATATTTTGGTTTTGACTCAGTTAATTCTTATTTTAAAAAAAATATTATATTTTTAATAAATTATGAAGCATTGGATAACCACAAAAAGTGCTACCGTAGTTCCGAGTTGTGATGTCGATGCCGATCCCGGGTAAGGTGTGGTAGCATCGGTTGTAGTAGGATCTGTTATAGTAGGATCGACTGTAGTAAGATCGGTTGTAGTAGGAGCGGGTGTACTCGGAGCAGGTGAAGTAGACACGGATGTAGTACTGGTTGTAGTAGAGGATGTAGTAGGAGCAGGCGTAGTAGTGGTTGTGGTAGAGGATGAAGTAGAAGCAGGCGTAGTTGTGGTTGTGGTAGAGGATGTAGTAGGAGCAGGCGTAGTAGTGGTTGTGGTAGAGGATGAAGTAGAAGCAGGCGTAGTTGTGGTTGTGGTAGAGGATGTAGTAGGAGCAGGCGTAGTAGTGGTTGTGGTAGAGGATGAAGTAGAAGCAGGCGTAGTTGTGGTTGTGGTAGAGGATGAAGTAGGAGCTAGCGTAGTATTGGATGTAGGTTCAGGCGAAGTAGTGGTTGTGGTAGAGGATGTAGTAGGAGCAGGCGTAGTAGTGGTTGTGGTAGAGGATGTAGTAGAAGCAGGCGTAGTTGTGGTTGTGGTAGAGGATGAAGTAGGAGCTAGCGTAGTATTGGATGTAGGTTCAGGCGAAGTAGTGGTTGTGGTAGAGGATGTAGTAGGAGCAGGCGTAGTAGTGGTTGTGGTAGAGGATGTAGTAGGAGCAGGTGTAGTTGTGGTTGTGGTAGAGGATGAAGTAGAAGCAGGCGTAGTAGTGGTTGTGGTAGAGGATGAAGTAGGAGCTAGCGTAGTATTGGATGTAGGTTCAGGCGAAGTAGTGGTTGTGGTAGAGGATGTAGTAGGAGCAGGCGTAGTAGTGGTTGTGGTAGAGGATGTAGTAGGAGCAGGCGTAGTTGTGGTTGTGGTAGAGGATGAAGTAGAAGCAGGCGTAGTAGTGGTTGTGGTAGAGGATGAAGTAGAAGCTAGCGTAGTATTGGATGTAGGTTCAGGCGAAGTAGTGGTTGTGGTAGAGGATGTAGTAGGAGCAGCCGTAGTAGTGGTTGTGGTAGAGGATGTAGTAGGAGCAGGCGTAGTAGTGGTTGTGGTAGAGGATGAAGTAGAAGCAGGCGTAGTAGTGGTTGTGGTAGAGGATGAAGTAGGAGCTAGCGTAGTATTGGATGTAGGTTCAGGCGAAGTAGTGGTTGTGGTAGAGGATGTAGTAGGAGCAGCCGTAGTAGTGGTTGTGGTAGAGGATGTAGTAGGAGCAGGCGTAGTAGTGGTTGTGGTAGAGGATGAAGTAGAAGCAGGCGTAGTAGTGGTTGTGGTAGAGGATGAAGTAGGAGCTAGCGTAGTATTGGATGTAGGTTCAGGCGAAGTAGTGGTTGTGGTAGAGGATGTAGTAGGAGCAGCCGTAGTAGTGGTTGTGGTAGAGGATGTAGTAGGAGCAGGCGTAGTAGTGGTTGTGGTAGAGGATGAAGTAGAAGCAGGCGTAGTAGTGGTTGTGGTAGAGGATGAAGTAGGAGCTAGCGTAGTATTGGATGTAGGTTCAGGCGAAGTAGTGGTTGTGGTAGAGGATGTAGTAGGAGCAGCCGTAGTAGTGGTTGTGGTAGAGGATGTAGTAGGAGCAGGCGTAGTAGTGGTTGTGGTAGAGGATGAAGTAGAAGCAGGCGTAGTAGTGGTTGTGGTAGAGGATGAAGTAGGAGCTAGCGTAGTATTGGATGTAGGTTCAGGCGAAGTAGTGGTTGTACTAGAGGATGTAGTAGGAGCAGGCGTAGTAGTGGTTGTGGTAGAGGATGTAGTAGGAGCAGGCGTAGTAGTGGTTGTAGTAGAGGATGTAGTAGGAGCAGCCGTAGTAGTGGTTGTGGTAGAGGATGAAGTAGAAGCAGCCGTAGTAGTGGTTGTAGTAGAGGATGAAGTAGAAGCAGGCGTAGTAGTGGTTGTGGTAGAGGATGAAGTAGGAGCTAGCGTAGTATTAGAGGTAGGTTCGGACGAAGTAGTGGTTGTACTAGAGGTAATAATAGGATCGGGCGTACTACTGGTTGTGGTAGAGGATGAAGTAGGAGCAGGCGTAGTTGTGGTTGTGGAAGAGGATGAAGTAGGATCGGACGTGCTACTGGGTGTAGCAGAGGATGAAGTAGGAGCAGATGTACTAGTGGTCATAGGAGAGATAACTTCATTTATCCATGTTGTGAATGAGAAAACTCGAGTGTACACTTCAGGGGTGGTATCATCAACCACACAATTGTTTCTTCTAGAAAGTAAGCCCTCGAGAACCGGAGCGGTCTGTGTGTTGCACACTAATGGGTTTCCTATATCACCCTGCAAATAAAGAGATACAGTTAGCCATTGATCGTCAGCTATTCCAATAACCATTACACAAAATAATCGCATAAAACATTTGAATTAAGTTTAAATAGTAAAATTTATTGATACAAAAAAAAATATACGCAGCAAGGTAAATAAAACTGTTTAGTAATTAATCGACAGCTCCCTTACTAAAAGTAATGTGCAGGTCATAGTCAGTTTTGATGTTGGACCGACTAAATTCGTATCGGGTCGTATATTTTGTCGGTTACTACAGATCTCATACGTCATCAATTTGCGATTTTTCATTTTTGACCACGTAAAATGATTATAAGTCAAGAAAAACTCATCTTACCTCACATCCACTACCAGCCGAAGTCCCGCAAACCATGCTTGGTACAATTATCATCTGTGGCATTAATGGGTTGCAAGCTTCACTTGACAATGTAGCTATAGATGGCAAAGTTATCAATTGCGCACTTGCCTAAAATTATAAGAAAAAGTAAATCAAAATGTTTCTAATTACTTTTAATGTAACAACAAAAGAAATACATCTGAATACTATTTCATTTTATTAAGATCTTTCTATGTTAAATAAGATAATACAATTTAGGATTTACAGTATTTTTATGAAACTTACAATAGATGTTGTATTTCGACCTCCAAAACCGGAAGACTCACACACGGAAGGATGAGATAATTCAGCAATCGGCATTGGCAAGGGGTTTGTTGAGTTCGAGAAAGCAGCTTGTAACTGAAATGTGACATTGACGTTATAGTTACATAGCATATATTTTTGAACACAACTTGTAAAACAAGGATTATAAAATAATTTCTTACAGTAATAACAGCAATATCGTTGACAAAAGTCTGCCTGTTATATTCCGGGTGGACAGTTATACTTGCTATGTCGCGAACGTTATCTGCATTATCATTTGTAAGAACTGTCCCAGCGAAAACTCTTAAGTTGTTTATGTTGATCAGTTGTCTGTAACATTCACAATATTTCATTTAGTTTGAAATGTTCCCTGGAAAAGTCATTTCTTTAGAAGTATCAATGATCGTTAGTTACTGAACTAAAGCTTTTGTCACAGCCAATGAACCAGTTACGACGGTACTAGTAGCTAGTGAATTTTATAGGTCGGTGTATATCTTTAAACCTAGGCATAATTGGATTCCAAGTGCAAATTTTTCATTTAAAGAAATATGAAACACCAAGTCTACGTCTCTCGTAGATTACAGTGCTGATTCACTATTTACATAGAGGTTTATGGTACGTTCGGGGGAAGTTGGAAAAGCTTCTAGTAATAAAATAAATGAATTATGTTTCCAAAATATACGTAATACTAACCCATTGTCATCGAGAACGCACGAAGCAGTTGTCAATGCATTTTGTCGAGTAATTAAGAGGTAGTCCATTTAGAGCACCTGTGCGAATAGCACCTGAACGAATAGCACCCAGCCTAGTCCACGAAGGGCACCTATCAAAATATTTGGCAGGTGCTCTTCGTGGATTCAAATTTGTTTGTATGTATTTATCCACGAATGGCACCTACGACTTAGAACCGTAGTGCTGTGATATATACACCCGTATTTGGTAAGCAGGACGTTAAATAAAAAATATCGAAAATAATACATATGCATTAATAATTTATATTACACAAACAGTACCTAGGGTAGGTACTTTTTATGTTATATAAGGTACAGCGCTTACGCCAATTTCGAAATCCACCATGGGTCTCTCTTTTCTTATGCTCAGGACCATATACCAAGCAACCTACCTGGGATGCGTGTGCTACGGAACCTGTCTGAAAATACTATTTTTATTGAGGCCTAGCTCTTTACCTCTCTTTAGTAGCGCCTTTTTAAAATGGAAGTAACACCCTTTTACTACGACTTTGGGAAATACAGATAGAATTCCTCTAACTGCAGCTTCTTCAAAGTCACTTGTAAAAAAATCTATAGACATGTCTGGTATCGTGGAAAATGTTTACGGCGTCGACAGTGGAGGGGTTATAAAAGTAGACATTATTCACCATATTCATTGCCTCTCTTATATTAATACTCTTAATTAAACCTCTTTTCTTCAATATTTTCAGTATTTTTGTAAAACGAATCTGTCAAGGTTAGAAAATCAACAAATACTAGTTATGTGCATAGATATTGTCGCGGAGAACCTAACGGGTAACCGGGGCTCCGACTCGACGTGCAGGAGAAGGAACGGGGTGGTTTTTAGTCAGTAAGAGTCTGACACTCCCTCCCGCCTCACCCAGGCGGGAGCAGTCATTCGATGATTTTCCCCCTTAAAAAAAAAATGTGCATAGATATATAAATCATATCAGTGGTTATGTGACATTGTCACATAATGTATGGTAAGTTTTTTTTTATTTAATGTTTATTAAACTATAAAAATGGAGCCTGTTCCCGGTCTTAGTTATCATAATACAGCTATTAGCTACATTTCTAGTAGAAAAGGAGCCCGTACACTAATTTATGAAAACAGACAATATAGAAAGTTTAAGAAATAAATCAATATATATTATAAGAGCACCACAGAAAGACGAAAACTAAGTGGGTCCTATATGTGGGCTGTTATACTTGCTTCCAATAATAGGTGTGGCAAGAGCGCCTAAACGCACGGAAATTTGTTCTAGATTCCACAAGATCCGTATAATAAGCTACACCTGACGAAACAATTAAATTATTTAACATAGTGTTACGTTCATATTGCCAGAGATCACACCCCCAGAGTATGTGTTGGAAGGACTGCTCATTTTGCAACTCCACTGTCCAACATTGGCACCAAGGTGAATCACCAAGTTAAAATAAGAACAACTTGCTTTTAAAGTTGCTGTGGCCAGTAAGAATTTGGCTAACACAGTGATGCACCTCCAACCGCTCATACACGGATGGGAATATAGGTGGCGGCCTGTGATAGAAGATTCCCATCTACACTCCCATTCAGTTGTAAATCGAGGCTAAAAGCTGGCCTAGGAGTAGTTTTATCTATTACCTATCTATCACCTATTGTGGCTGTAAGAAAAGAGAGACCCCAGGTGGCTTTCAAAATTGGCGTCAGCGCTGTACGGTAGGTACTGTTTGTGTAATATAAATTATTATCTAATATTCATATGTATTATTTTCGATATTTTTATTTAACGTCCTGCTTACAAAATGCGAGTGTGTATATCCCAGCACTACGGTTCGAATCGTAGGTGCCCTTCGTGGATAAATACATAAAACAAATTTGAATCCACGAAGAGCACCTGCCAAATATTTTGATAGGTGCCCTTCGTGGACTAGGCTGGGTGCTATTCGTTCAGGTGCTATTCGCACAGGTGCTCTAAATGGACTACCTCGTAATTAATACACCTCCACATTTGTGACCTCTTTCGTAGGTTGGTGTTGATTGTTTCTCTTGTAATGATATCTAGAAACAATATAATCGGTTAGATTTATACAAAAAATCATACACAATAGCAATCATGCTATATGCTTGCTTGCAAACAGTTCAAAACAAACATTACTAATGGCATCAAAATATTATGACTAATTTTATACTTAAGAAAATTGACTTAATCATAAATATGACTGATTTTATACTTAAGAATATTGACTTAATCATAAATATGATTAAAGAAATTATGCATAAACAATTTGCGTAAGCTTATTATGCGTAATATTATTCTGCGAACTTAATATGATGCCTAAGTAGGTATATAACATAACATAACATCACGCCGTTTAGCCCCGAAGGGGTAGGCACAGGTGTACATTATGCCACTGTACAATGTAACACCCACTTTTCACTATTTATGTTATGAGTCCCATGTAATAGGGGGTGAGCCTATTGCCATATACTGGGCACAATACCATACTCCATGCTACTACAGAGAATTTTAAAAATCCCAGTAATACTTTTCCCGACCCGGGAATTGAACCCGAGACTCCTTTTTTTATACCACGACGGTGGTAAAAAAGCACACGACCCACCTGATAGTAAGCGGTTACCGTGGCCTATGTACGCCTGCAACACTTGGGACATTACATGCGTTTTGCCGACCCTTGCCCGGCAGTTACCTTTCCGACCACTCCCACTCCACTGCCAACGAGGCAGTTCACAGCCAAAGTAGAGGTATATTACGTCTTAAAATTGCATACCATACAATAGGTAACCATAATTATACTAACCACATAATTGATGTCATTTCTGTATGATCCTCCTATAATCCTACCAAATCCTTCAAGTTTGTACGCTTTGACGCCTGGAGAACAAAGAAATATTTTATTATTAATTATTTGTTAATATCTTATATAATACTTACGTAGTACATTAAAAATTTACAGGGTATAGTTATATAGTAAATAGTGACCCAGGTATTTTTTTTTACAATTTAATTTTTTTCACGTTTTTCAATTGTCCGCCGTCCACTTTCACACACTTTCCTATGTCCACTACCTACTTATTTGGAAATGCATGAAGTGAAATTTCCTGATAAGTAGGTGTACGGGACATAATTTGAAAAAGGTGGGGAAATAATGGTACTGTATACGGTATGTCGATTTTAAAAATTAAGTCAAACACTATGTTTTTAAATTTCTTAAAACTTTATTACATTTGACATAATCCTTATGACAAATAATAACCCAGAGAAAATATTTAGTGTCTCTATGAAACTACCTGTCATCTGAAATATTGCTGCTTATTCTATAAAAATGATTAGTCGAATCGCAAAAACAAAAGATGTTTAAACATTTATTTGTACTTGCGATTTTTAGATTTTGGGAGCAGATTTATAAAAATAATATCATATGAACGATTTTTTATGCCTATGTATATCCATCCCTCAAACTATCTCAACTTAAAAAAAATACGTCAAATTATCTCTATATTTTGCTGTAAACCGTGAAAGATACACAATCAAACAGACACATACTTTCAAATTTTTATTATTAGAATGTATTTCGTAACTTATTGCAAGATTTATTAGGTAAGTTATATTATCGATGTGTAA